TGCTCGACGTTGCGACGCGCGCCGTCGACCCCGCCGCCGCGGCCCCCGCCGGGGTCCCGCCCTTCGTCCCGTCGCCGCTCGCCGCTACGCTCGCCCGCCACGCCGCGACAGCGAGCGCCGCCCGCCACGCGCCGCTGTGGCGGTTTGCGGCCCAGATGGGCGGGATCGCCGCCGTGTGCCGCAGCGTCGAGCGGCCCGCGCTGTCGCGGCGCGAGCAGGCGGCGCTGTACGCGGCGGTCGCGCCGCCGCTCGTGGCGCTGACCGAGCGCGTGCTGCAGCACGACGCGCGGCCCGCGTACGGCGACCCCGCGGCGCCGGCGCCGCTGCCGGCCGCGCTCTCGGTCGACACCTTTCGCGTCGACGTGCTGCTGTTCCTCGGCGGCCGCACCACGTGGCCGCGCCTCCTGCATCGGCTGCGCCACTTGCCGTACGGCCAGCGCCCCACGATCGGTCACTACGATAGCCTGTTTGCGGCGCTCACCACGGTCGCGCCGCCCGCAGATGGGCGCGCCTCGGCCCTGCCGGCCTTTGCGGAGCGCTTGATGAGCGACCTCGAGGCCGACGGGCTGCAGCCGACCGCGCAGACCTGGAGCCATGTCTTCCATATCTTCCACCGCACGTTCCAGCCGCCGCGGCGTCAGGCACGCCCGCCCGGGCCCGGTGGGGGCGACCCCCCGGCCACGGCCGCTCCGACGCTCGCGGACGACCGCTTGCCGCTGACGCCGGCGCATTATGCGCTCGAGGCGCTGATGCACCGCTTCTTCAAGGCGGATCTGGTCGTGACGCCGGCGCTGCTGGATGGGCTCGTCAAGGCGGGTCTCCATACCTACGAGTTCCGCGATTTTGTGCGCCATGTGCGCACCGTGCCCGCGCGGCTCGGCATGCCCTTGACGACGTACCACTACAACCTGCTGCTGCTCAAGGGCTCCTTTAACCCGGGCCCGAGCCGCTACGTCGTCGACGTCGTCTGGCCCGAGATGCAGGCCAATCCGCGGTGCCCGCCGAGCGCGTTCACGATCGGTATGCTGTGGGCGTGCTGCGCTCAGTGCGGCGCCGTGAGCCAGGCCGCCACGCTGCTCGAGGACCTCGTGCGGCGCCAGCAGGTCGCGCTCTTGACGCCGGAGGCGCTCGCGCAGTTCAAGCGCGTCATGGACGACTGGCCGAGCCTCATCACCTCCGAGGTGGTGGATCTGTATCGCCACGCCCTCGCGCTCGCTCCCCGCTCACGGGGCGCCTCGGCGCGTCGGTCTTCCGCAGAGCGAATGCCGCATGAGCATGAGCAGCACGACTCGTTGTAGCAGCCTCAAGCGCCTTCTTCGCAGCAGGAGCCGCTTTCCCATCCTAGAGCCGGTAGTCCTGGCGTCGCGTGGCCTGATCCCCATCCATGTATCGCCTCATTTCGCATCGCAACATCGTCCTCAGAGGGCATTCGGTGCGGTGGTCGTTGCCATGCAGGCGACTCTCAATCAATTTTCATTAATGCAGGATGTCGCGCACGCGGTTCTGGACGCGGGTCCGGGCGCCCTTGGTCGCATGCGAGACGCGGGCCCGCGCGTCCTTGGTGGTGTTGCGGACGCCCTGCTGACCGAGGTTGAAGCCCATGCGGCGCAGCCAGCGCGAGACGCGCGGCGCGGCGGCCGCCGTGATGGCGAGCTTGATGGGAAAGAAGAGCTTGGTCATGACCATCGCGAGCAGGGAGTTGTGGACGAACGTCACGACCGCCTCGGACTGCATCGACGCCGGCAGGAACCGGCGGACCCAGGACTGCTGCGGGTCGACGGCGGCGCGCGCCGCGGCGCGCTCCTCGGGCGTGGGCACGTCCAAACCGAACGCGCGCTTCGCGCGGTCAAGCCAGCCCTCGATCATGGCCTGGTCGACGCCCGCAAACGTGATGGCCGACAGGCACACCAGGTAGACCAGGAAGGCGAGGCCCATGTACAGCACGAACACGATCACGCCGTACTCGCGCACGAGCCGCTTCAGCGGGGACACGGGCGCTTCGGAGCCGCCGGCGTCGGCGGCCTGCGCGGCGGCCGCATCGGCGCCGGCGTCGCGCGGCGCCGTCGACAGCGCGGCCCGTGCGGACGACAGGGCGTGCCGGGACACGGGCGCCATGGGCCCCCGGGGCAGCATGCCGACCAGCCGCGCGGCCGACCACGCCGGCATGGCCATGCCCCGGTGGTGGCCGCCCGCGAGCTGCAGCGGGCGCGGGGGCTGGCACAGGCCGCCCAGCACGCGGGCCGTCTCAGCGGGCCGCAGGACCCGCATCGCGGTCCAATCGAGCGGCAGACGGGCCGCCCATGGCCGCCCATGGCTCGCGGCGCTGCGCACCACCGCACGCGAGAACATGGTGCAGACGACCCAAAAGGACGCAGAAAGGCGGTCTGGGACCGGTCGCGGGCACGCGCTCAGCAGCCGCGTCAGACGTCGTGCGCTGCGGGTCTCGGCAGCGCGGCTCGACAGGGGCGGATCGCACGGCAGGGCGGGGAGGCGTCGAGCGGGGGAGCGTGGCCGTCACGTGGCGGCACCAGTACGCGCAAAGTCGAGGGTCTCCATGGAAGCATGCGTGCTCGCCGCCGCCGCCGCCGCCGCGTGGGTAATGCGTCAGAGATGCTTACTGCCGCCTCCGTCCAGGACGTGCCACACCGACCTCTCGCGCGTATGAAGCGACGCGTCGCCGCGTCTTGTCAAGGAGGCGGCAGGCGCGTGTGGCGATGAGCGGCGAGCCAAGCGCCCCTTGGATGATGCGATGGGGTGCGCCGAGTGGGCTCGGAGGGGCGCCGTCGGACCTTGAACCGTGCGGGCCACGTCGGCGGCCCGCCTCGCGAGGCTTGGACCCTTGGATCGGCGGGAAGTGGCGCAGCGTGGAAGGGAAGGGCCGGCAGCGCGTATACTTATCGCTCGCACGCGGCAGGCGGCGGCGATATCCCGATGTGGCTCCATCCACTGCCGCTGATGCGACACGTGGACCGGTCGATCGGCGTTTGCGGAAGGAACCAAGACGCGCTTCTCACTCCTTCCAAGGCGACCTGCTCATCATGCCATCGGGCCCCATGAATGGTGTGAGTTCTATTCCGCATCTCCCGCATCGCATGATGGCACGGTGGCATCAAGACCTCGATGACGACGCCAACAGCGATCATCCGCAGGAACTGCGGTCGATGTCGCGGTTGACACTGATGTGGCGACCGATATCATTGGCTATGTTCAGGTCGATGGCGACCATCAGGAGTGCAAAGACCCATCACGTGCTGGCGCCACGGGCGCGGAGGAGGACCTGCGCGTCCTGGACCGTGAACAGCGCATGCCGCCCCGGCGGCCCGACGCTGTCGATGGGCGCGGCGCGGGGCGGCCCGCCGGGCGTGTGGCCGTGCACGAGGATCACCTCGCCGTCGACGCCGCGGCTCAGGCCGCTCGTCAGCGGCCCGATGCGGACGCGCGTCGTCGCCATCTCGTCCTCAACGATGCGGACGAGCCGCGCGGCGTCCGTGGTGGCCAGCAACGGCACGGCGTCGGCGTCGCGCGCCGCGGCGAGCGCTGCAGGCGCCTGCGCCGTCACGACGAGCTGCGCCCCGTGCGCGGCGACGACGCGCCGCAGCGCCTGCAGGAACAGCAGCATCCGCGGCAGCGCGACGAGGCCCATCGCGACCGGCGCCTGGACGTCGTCCACCACGATGGTCGGCACGACCGACGGCGCCGACGGCGCCGCTAGGAAGGCGTCCACGCGGGCCACGACGGCCATCAATGTCTCGCGAGGCGCGGCCGTCGTCTCGCCATCGGCATCGGCGTCGCCGTCACCATCGGCATCGCCGTCGGCGTCGAGCGCCGCGCTGAGGTCCCAGTACTGCACAGGGTCGCGGGGCGACGGCGCCGACGGGTCGTGGCCAAAGAGGGCCCCGAGCTTGCGGCCGGCGCGCTGGATCTGCGCCCACGCCGTCGCGGGCCGGCCGGTGGCGAGCACGAGCGCCGTGCCCGGCGTGCCTTTCGGGGAGCCGCGCGCCTGGCGCACCAGCACGTGGTAGAAAGCAAAGTCGGCGTCGAGGTCGGCGCCGGGCGCGGGCGGCAGGCTGACCATGCTCACGCAGGTCCCGGCGCGGGCGGCGGCGGTCGCGCCGTCCACCAGCGGCGACCACGTCGGGCCCAGCAGGCCCGCCGCCGCTGGACCCGCCGCTGGCGCCGCGGCGCCCGCGGCGGCGGTTCCGATGGCGGCCGCCATCCAAGACGCGCGTTCAGACGGGCACGCTAGGCGCGAAAGGAGAAGACGGCTATCGTCGTCGTCGTGGGTGGTGGTGGTGATGGTGGCGGCGGCGGCGCGGGCGACGGCAGCGGCAGTGGCAGCAGCGGCAGTGACAGCAGCGACAGTGACAGCAGTGGCGGCGGCGGCGATCACGCGTCGTTGGAGCGAGGGGATCTTCTGGCTCGATGGCACGTCCAGTGGCAAGCACGTGCGGATCGTAGCATGAACGAGCGGTGTGATCATCGTCGCCACGTGGAGGTCCGGTGCTCCCGAGGTAGGGCCCGCGCCGACGTCGCAGCCAGGCTCGGACGGTGGCCCGGCACGGTCGGGGCGAACCCCGCGGTGGCGCACCAGTCCGGCGCCCTCCGGCCCCAGTGGCGTTGGCGTCGGCGTCGGCGGGGACGCTGGGCCGCCTCGGTCGAAGTTGGCGCGGCCGCCGGACGCTTTGTGGCGCGGCCCACTCCACAAATCGAGGGAGAGACAAGAACAGCGCGACTTCATACCATGGCCAGGATCCGCGGGGACCCATTCCAAGTCCGAATACCCAGGCACCGCGACGGCAGCCCACGCGCTTCAGCTGCAGCAACCGCAACGGTCACGGCACCATCTTGCACATCGTCGCGTTCTCGAGCGGCTCGAGACTTGCCGTGCTCGTCGAGCCTGGGTGGAGCGCCCATCAACCCAACGCTTCGCATGGGAGGCGGCGCCGCATCAGGGTCCACCGCCAAGAATAAAAAAACGCGTACAACTACGCTAACCGTTGTGGCCGAGACGGGATTTGAACCCGCGCCTCCGGAGAGATCACGGCCTAAACGTGACACCTTAGACCAACTCGGTCACTCGACCTTCAACATGCTATGCGGGGGGCTCGGTTCTCCTCAACCTTCCCTTTCACGCTTGATTCATTAAAAGAAGCCATGGCCCGCCCAAGCCTCTTCTGGTCCAAGCCGCCTCATCGCGCAGCAGAGCCGGCTCTACACAACAGAAAAAAGAGCGAGAAAAAAAGGAAAAAGACTGGTTCATCCGGTTCATACTTCTGGAAAGTGTGAAATGACAGCCAGCAGACGTAATTTTTCTTCGGTCAAAGGGAAGTTGCTCAAGCTCTCGGAGATCTTGGTATATAAAACAGTCTCAACATGCATAATTCAGGCGATAGATGGTGTTGTGCTTTAAATATCGTCATTGAGCATGAGCAAGCTTCCACCGCGAAAAAAATCAGTCAAACTGACGCGTCACTTTCAAAATGTGAGCTCGTTCAAACCACGCGCTGTTACGAATATCGCAGGGAGCATGGCATACGAAGCGTCCAAGGACGGTATGAGAGCTGTACCCATGGAAAGGGATACGGCGTGAGGTCGGAACCGTCCGCGCTCGATGCCTCGCTGTCGGTGAGCATGCTCAGGACAAGTGTTGACGACGGCGCGAACCGTCAACGTCAAGACTTTGCCTGAGCCGTCAGAGACATGCGAAAAAGAAGGGAGAGGAGGGTGGGGATATGAGTGAAATGAAATGAATAGAGAAAGGAAGGAGCCAAGTCAATGACAATGACGCGATACGGAACACGGAGGTGGTCGTATGCGTCGTCACCGAAGAGGGAGGATGGGGGGAAGGCAGAATACCACCTAAGGTGTCCGCAGGGCAGAGGGAAGGCGGAGAGAGAAGTGTGGTGAACCCATCGTTTCGATGACCGTCTCACCGTCCTGGCACGGCCAGCGTTGAACGAGAGCCGCGCTCGAGGCCTACATTGCGACGACACATCTGTTTCTCTGGAGCGCCTTGAAACGCGCGGCTTTTATACGCGAGCGGAACGAGCGGGGCGCGCGGCTTGCGGCCTGGTCTGCCATCCACCCAGCCTCCTCGGGCACACCAGCCGCAGGCGGCGCCGCCCGTGGCCTGCTGGAAGGGCGTCTACGGCGGCGCAGCAGCGTGGCTCTCCGGCCTACGACCAGCTGCGACTATACCTGCGAGCGGAGCGACATAATAAGTGATGACCCAAGTCGTCTGCTCTCCGGTTCCGCGCGTCACCCTCCTAATTACCCTGCGTAATTACGCTGCCGTGCACGGCAGCACGTCTCGCTGGATTGGACGGCGGCGACGCGAGTGGCCAAACTCCGACAGTGGCTGAGGTGCCAATCGGGGAGCCGTCCGCGGTTCCGACGTCTCGAGCGTCCGAGACATGCGCCCATCCGACCGAGCCGACGCTGATCAACAGGTTTCACACGACCCGGGGGTATGCCAAGACGACTGAGGTCCTGAAAAATTGCAAAGCCGGCGGAAGAACGCTGTGGTCAGGGGATAGCTTTGGTGTGATTCCACCAGCGGCAAGTTGGTGAACCGCCACTTGAATGCCGCATTGAACATGCGACGATGTCTGGCCATGCGGGTCAGACGCTATGCCGTACTCCCGGGCAAGCCAAGTGACAGCTCGTCATCGGCCAGCGCCTCCGGCGATCTCTCGAATGCGGACTGGCGCCTCCGGAAATTTTCTGGGCACCAAGGAGGGCACGGCGTTCGTGTTCACGTATCCTCGGACACTTACTCATCCGTTAAACGGATATCCACGACTTACCACCTCAATCATGAAGCGATGCAGGCCTCGTGGCGCACCCAAACGTGGCGCATCCGTCACACCTCATCCGTCCCGATCTCTGGGTGATCCGCCACGGACCTCCTGGGTCCTCGGATCCATTCCGTCTTTCGTGATCCGTGTGATGTAGTGCCATCGCAGGCGTGGGCCATGCGAACGCCGCGCCTAGCGCAACAGCGATCCCTGCCGAGCCCGACGGCGGTGGCGGTGGCGGCGTCGCGATCGCCGTATGCCACGTGCATCCGCGGGCGTCGTGGGCGCGCCTTGGACGGCTTCGAAGGGAGCTTGGCGGGCGGGGACACGGCCGCCGCCGCATCACCGGCGGCGGCGGCCGTGTCGTTGAGGCCGCGCCGATCCTCCGCCCGCGCTCGAAGGGACATGCGGGCAGCGATCCTGCCGGTCGCCGCTGGCCCACCAGCGCCGGCCCGGAGACGCGTGTGTCCCGCCATGCGCCCTCCCGGTCACCCAGGATACCCGCCGACGCGTTCAGGGTCGGCCAACGGTCGGCGATCAGGATCCACCCAGGATACCTGCGTGGGCCATCGATGGCGATGGCGATCCTAGGAGACGTTGGAGGGCTGGGCCCATGCTAACAACGAAGCCCGAAGGGAGGGGCTCCACCCGCGCTAGGCTCGCTGGGCTAGTTGCGCGCCGTCCGCTGCGAGGGCCGACGTCCTGCCGCTCGTGCTCGTCGTCGCCGTCGCCATGCTGCTGCCTTCCCTGCGCCTCATGTGATCCTCCCGCTTTCCCGCTTTCTGTTCTGTGTTGCCGCCGCCGCCGCCGCCGCCGCCGCCACCACCACGCGCTCGCGACCCCGGCTGTAGCCACCACCACCGTCGTCGCCGTCGCCACATAGAGCGACCCGCGTCGGCCGCGAAAGACCTCATTGACCCGACGGCGTCCGCCCGACGCGGTCGTGTCGTCGTCGGCCGCGTGCGCCGCGGACCGTCCTTCCCCAGAGGAGGATGCCGATCTCCCTGCAAGCCGCCGTATCACCCACGCCGCACGCCGCACGCCGCCGCAGGCCCCACTGCGCCGCGTCTCCCCCTTCGACGGCTCGCGCAGCACCGCGGCGGCGGCGCTTGACCTCACCCCGACCGGCCTCGCCGCGCTCCCACGCGCCACGTGCGGCCAAGCGTTGATCCGTGCGCGGCGGCCTGAGACCCTCGTCTCACCGTCTCGGACGACTCGGCGACGTGGTGCCCTTCTGCCGCCCCACCTCGCGCCCGTGGCTCCTGCTGGCTCCTGCTGGCTCCTGCTGGCTCCTGCTGGCTCCTGCGGACTCCTGCGGACCGAGAGAGCGAGCGAGCGAGAGCCAGCGAGCGTGCCCTCCCCCCAAGCCACGGAGCCGCTCGCTTCGTTGTAGCCAGCACGACCCCTGCCGCGTGCCGCGCCTGACGTCGGCACCCGCGAGTCCCGTATCCTTCGGTCCGTTTCCGCTGACTCTTGCGACGTGATTGCTCTCTGGAGCCTGATCCGGCTCCCGCGGCTGCCGCCGTCCACGTGGCGCCGCGACGCCGCCGGCCAGAAGGTGCACGTGCGAGACCCGCGTTTCACGCCTGCGCCGCGCCGCGGCCCCGCGCCGCCGGACGCCGGACGCCGTCCTCGCCGCTGCTGCTGCTGCCGCCGCCGCCGCCGCCGAGCACCATGCCGTTGATCGCGTCGCTCGCGTCGTTACTCAAGGGCAGCGATGCGCGTGCCAAAGCCCGCGCCAGCTATGCCTCCGACGCGGCGGACGGCGGCGCCCGCGCCAGCCGCCACAGCGGCCTTGCCGACCCGCTGCCGAGCGCCGAGCCGCTGACGGATTCGGATGAGGACCGCGGCAGCGCGGCGCCGTCGAGCGCCCGGCCGCCCAGCCAGCGCGGCGGCGGCCAGCGCGCCAGCCTGCTGTCCCCCGGGCCGCGGAGCTCCAGCCCACGGTCCCATCTGGACGTGCTCGCGACGCCCAAATCGCATCACGCGACCGGCCACTCCGCCTCCAGCGGCCACCGACAGCGCACGAGCGGCGCGAGCGCGACGCCGTCCGCCACCACCGGCTCACCGACACCGCCGCCGGGCGCCACGGCCAGCGGCGCGGCGCGGTCCTCGGGGCCACCCGACCCGTACCCGACGCCGTCGTCGCGGAGCAGTGACCCGTCGCGGACGTTTCTGTACAGCGGCCTCTCGAGCACGGCGCCCGCAGCGCCCGTCCACTTCGGCCGCGCCACCAGCGCCCACGGCAGCAGGAGCCCGCTCCCGTCGCAGCTGCACACGGCCGCCGCCCCGACCGAGCTCATCGCCATTCCGCAGCGCTCGCCGCGCTCCCTGCGCCGCGGGCCCGTCCAGGGCTCGCCGTCGCCGCCGCTCGCGGTGGGGGCCGAGACCAGCGCATCGCCCCGTCCGTCGCCGTCGTCGCCGCCGCCGCCAATGGCGCGGTCGAAGTCCCGGGCGGGCATGGCGGTGCCGCCGCCATCGGCGGCGGCGTTGGCGTCGGTGACCATCTCGGCCGGCACGGTTGGCACGACGACGACGTCGCGGATCGCCGCGGCCACGGCGCTCGCACCCTCGGCCGCGGCGCGTGGCGTCCGCGGCTCCGACGACGCGCTCGATGCGATCCTCCTCGCGCAGCAGCAGAACGGCCTGGTGGAGCACATGAAGGGGCAGCGGCTCCTCACGCATGACGACTTTTTTCCGCAGGACGGGCAGCGGTTTCCGGTTCTGCCGAAGCACGGATTCCCAGCGACGTCGACGCCCGAGTTCCGGTACTCGCGGCACTGGGACCAGATCGCGCGGTGCCTCGGCACAGCGCCACCGGCAGTGCCGGCGCTCGCGTCGTTCCGCGCGCTGTGTCGCAGCCTCGACGTTGTCCGCGTCACCAACCGCATCATTGTCATGGGCTGCCCGACGACGACGGCCGCCAACGCGCCGGTGCGCGGCGCGCCCCCGGCGGACGGCGTGCCGCGGTCGCGCCGCCCGCGGTCCAATACCGACATCGGCGACCTCGTGCGCTTTCTCGATACGCGGTACGGACGCAACTACATGGTGTGGAACCTGGCGGGCGACAGCGCGATCGGCATCTATGAGCCCGGCGTGTTTCACCACCGCGTCGTGTCGTTTGGGTTCTCCAAGACCTACGCGTTGACGCTGAAGGCCATCTTTGACATCTGCCGCTCGATGCACGCGTGGCTCGCCATGTCGCCGGCCCACGTGTGCGTCGTGCACGGGCTCACCACGACCGCAGCCTATGCGGACGTCATGCTGTCGCCGTCGCTGCGGCAGC